CTTCAAGCAATGTCTTTGCTCTTACACTGCGAGAGCAACCATCTCGGCTGAGCTCCAACATGCCTTCAGACGTAATCGGGCGCGCATCCGGATTACTTGGACGTTTATTCGCACGTCATTCACTGTCGCGCGTCCTTAAGAGAGCGCGGCTTTTCAATTTGATGTCAAACCTTGTGCTTCTTGACGTTCGACCCCATGAATCCAACAGTTCGCTGGTCGCTCATCCACAGCCTGCACTAATGAACCTTTTGGAGGATTCACGTTCCCTCGCGATCATTTCTTATCTTCGCAGGCACGAGCTCCACGTCGTCAGCGTAAAGAGGGCGGCTCATAATGTCGCGCTGCTGGCAAATGGCTTCATAGACGGACTATATGCCGAAGGCAGCAGGAAAAGCGCAGAAGCCCCTTGAATGCGCTCCTAACTGGGAACCCCATCGAAGATGCTTGCTGGGTTTGCCACACGAATCCGTTGGCGCGGAGTACAGCGATGTGATACCCCATCTCAAAATCAGCTCTTCGCGGAACGCCATGCATGCTCCCAAGGCGTAGCGGAGCGACAATCATGCCCGGGAAGATCGTTTATGCCCTTCTCCAAATTCAAGTAGGAAGATGGACATGCCCTGCCTATCATCAAATGCTTGAAGGAGCGGTAACTGTTGCGCTTTAAACTTGTTGCCATTGCCTGTTTCCATCTTCTTGAGAGCCTGTGTTCTGTTTACCTTACAGTTATCTTCTGAGCGGACTATCTGAGGTATGCCGCCCGCCCGATGTGCGGTCGTGATTATTCCACCACGAGGATTCTGCGAGGCAGTCGCCTTAGTTATTCGTATCGCGTCCACTCAGAAAACTCACCCATCTCGGTGCGTAAAACAATGCAACCAGATTAAATGGCCCACCGTAGCTAGTATAGTGTCAATATCCGTGCTAGTTCTCTAGCTGAATTGTCTCCCAGCGAAAATAGCTTGCAGGCGCCTCTTCTTCACGCAATCTGTCTGATTATGACAGAACTCCTGTCCAGATATGCCTTCTCTGTCCAGAAACCATGCCGCTTGTCAGTTCTACGCTTTCAAAGCTTGGTTGTGCCGAATTTTGCGGGCGAACGCTGAGTATAGCTTCGACAAGTTTGCCCAGCAGCCAGCCCGAGAGCAGCTTTGCCAGCATTTTTCCGAGCGTTTCGTTGCAAGCTTGTGACAGTTTGTTCGGTGACACCACATAACCTAGGCCATCACAAAAACACCGGCGGCTACACGCTTCAGCGTACAGAGCGTGCTGCCGAGCATCTGTATTTTGACCTTAAAGCGCTTACCTTTTTCTCACAACACCTTCATGCTATGGCTGGACTATTAAAAGTAGCAACTCTTCATGTGGTTTTTGGAACTATACAGACAAGCGACTGTACCGCAAGCAGAGCCCTTTCTGGGCGGCCATGTTTGTCTTATTGCAATTTGCTTTCGCGACCAAACATTTCCTTTTTCAGTGTATAGCACTTGTTCACGGACTCTCGCTCCCCATTCCTCTTGAAAGTGTGTTAATTCCCTTGATCGAGCGTCGTTCGGTTGTGCACTCGTGTCATTCCCCAGTGTGAGCTCCATCTGGTTCAGGAACAATTATGACTTCTTGAGGAATGTCGTAAATGTGCGTAAAACCCAAACCAGTGATACAATGTAAATCCTTGTTACCTTTGTTTTTATCGTCGTTATCAAACTATATTAATATTTTTGTCAAGTTAATGTTGCCATAGTTCATGTTACCGAGTTCATGTTACTGATGAAACGTTATCTACTGTTACTTCCAGGACAGATAAAGTTTTCACAGCACAGCATGCGAGTTTTCATTCATGGTGGACGATGAAAATCAGTCTAGAACACCTAAGGTGCCTAGAATACAAGCTACAAGAGTTCCACCTCATTCTGCGTGATAAATATCAGTTCTGAAATGTTTAAAACATCCACAACTCAGGAAGCAAAGTTCCTGTTTATTCTAAGAGTTGTTCTGGAGTGCCTATGCCTCCAGAACCTCCATCGATTATAAGTTTCATCTAGATACAACGAGGATATTAAGTGAATGTGACTTAGGCCCCGGGTAATGTATTTATGACCCTTGGTGAACAGATTAGATAGACCAGGCGCAACCCCGTCTTTTTAGACCAGGCGCAACCCCGTCTGTTGTTTGAGGGACGCCCCTTTTTGTGAGTATTCTACCACTAGCCGACACACCGAGCAGTCAACAATAAACGACGCCAAACCAATATACTGTGAACAATTCTGTGGAAGAGCTGGACCCCCCTGCTGATATGGGAGTAGGGGCAGACGCTGCAAACACGGCGCGAGACCGCATCAGGGAGCACTACGATAACCTCTACGGGCCCTCCCACTAAAGGTGAGTAACTACACATATTAGACTAAGCAAAAGAAAATAACCAGAAAGAGTATAAGTACATAATAAGAAACACTAGAGATACAAGAATCACTTCTAACTCACCTTCCGCGATAACGTCACCACCCACCGAATAAGCAGCAGGAGGGTATGAACGGGCAGGTACGTTGGTCGCAATTGTACAGTCTGTGAACAGAACTGTGGTGATCAGGTGCATCTTCTCGCTGATATTAACAGTTCTGCGCTTCTCTAATTCGCGTAACTCGTCCCCCACAAACAGTCCTGAATGTCATGATTAGAATCAAAATGTAGCGTATAGCTGAAATGTCGTATCAATGAAATACACACCGAAAGTAGTAAATCTGTCCTGCTGAGGGGCCTTCCTTCTTCCCAACGCCTCGAAGTACTGCGCACCGTCTCTGCTGCACTCCGAATTAGTGCGACTGGATCTAAAAAACCATTTCATCTACATCGACAATTTCTATTTTTTGCAAGAAGTTATGCTACCTTCGATTCTCCTTTTTTAGCCCTTTCACTTCCACTCAAGGCTGTGGCTACCACTGGCACCGTTTCCACGATCGCTGGCGACTGGGACCTTGAGCAAGGGGTAGTCGCGAACGATCCTCCGGGAGTTACATTAGGAACAGTGAAGCCGAGGACCTGCAAACCGAAACTCTGTGTCGATGATTAGGTAACCGCAGAGCTGCCAAATGGAACCCAAGCAAGATCTACAGCTTCCAAGTAGCTGAGAGCATCGCTATACTTCCAATCTTTCCTCGCTTCCGATCCAGTGTCGGGAGCCATCCTTCTTTTCCGCACATCCTTGAGGTTGTTCCGCATGGTCTTATATTCGGAAACTATAAACGCAGTTGACCAATTTCCATTGATGCATAAACGCGACTAATGGGGTAATGACAAAATCGCACTGACTGACCACTGCGCCTATGCTCCTGTTCCTCCATGCTTTCCGGAATCCTTTCCCAGGCTTCGCGCACCCTCTCGTGGAATTTGTTGTCCTCACATCGCGGATCCCATATGGCTGATTCCATTTCCATGGACTCTATGAGCAGCAATCGAATGTCTCCACGCGACGACATGCTGCGATAAGCAAGCTTTAAGTAGACATCAAACTCCCCTACAGAACGCATATCGCGACTTTGCAAGAAAAAAGAAAACCGAAAAAAATCAACATCGAAAAAATCAAATTGAAAAATCGACAAGACGCTAATTCAAAATGAATATTAAACAGTAACAGGGAAAGGTGCCTCACATATTGGGGGAAGTGGGGCAGGGGACAATAGGGGATAGACAAGAGAAATAGATCCTGTATGAACTTGGTTTACAAACGCCGATATACGATGGTTTCCTTCATATATGAACGAGGAGCCAGAAGTGTTTGCCTTCTGAATAGAAGCTAGAGACGGGCGCTTATAGACATACCTTACATCACGACAATTACTTCACCGGGGAGCAGATGGAGTCTTTGCGCATTCTGCCAGCGCGCAGTCCCCCAAAATATGTTCGCCAACACAAAGTAAAAATATCACCAATTAGAATGCATCCACCTGGAGTAAAAATATGTCAATGGCGCAACACAAATTCAAAATACTCCAATACGACCTGGAAAGAAAAATCCATAATGAGGATGAAAAGAATAACAACATGAACCCGCCTGCAGCGTTCCACTTGAATCGATGCTTCCGCCACAAGAAAGCGTTGGAAAACCGCTAGCCTAAAAAAGGGGTAATGAAGAGAAATGCTTCAACAAAAACTACTTACTGCTTCTGCTACCTCCACGCCAGAAGAAATGCTCAACTAAAGGAAAACTAGGAATGAAGAATAGGCTGTCGTATGACAGGAAGCTTAGTGGACGCAGAAAGTAGACGCAATGCGCCTCACATGGTTTTCGCCTTGGCCCCGACACGGACCATCGATACTGGTCTTCGCTTCTCGCCGAGGGCTTAGCCCTTGCGAAATTACCTATCGATGACACGAGTCTTCGCCGCATCGCTGCAAGGCTAGCCCTTGCGAAATACTAATCGATGACTAGAGGGTCTCTCGCGCATCGCTGAGGTGCTAGCCCTTGCGAGAATATAAAGCTTCACCTCGAGTTCTTCGATATGTATTTAGCAAGACTCGACTCCATCAAATAGAGAAAATGTGACATGAAAACAAAAATTTCCTCACCGAATCATTGCGAGAAACTCGGGCATCACAATATTAAAAAATTTACGAAGTAAATGTAAAATAAGGCCTAAAGTCGAACACTTTAACGCAAGGAGTTACCTCGATGAAGGTTCCGTGTTGAAAAAACGCAGCCATCCACTATTCCACTCACACAAAATCTGATGAAGGGGGAAGCAGGGGAACAGGAATGCTGTCGTGCCAATGCAAAGTTGAATAAGGGTCAGAATCCATTCAGTCGTTCTGCCACTAATCAACCCCCACCGGCAGGGAGACAGGGCGACAAAATGAGGGAAAGGCCAAGTGAGCGGAGGGGGACAATGGGGGAAACTGAAAAAAGGCCATACAAAAGAGAACATGACAAGAGAAAGTAGAACATCAAAAAACTATAAGGAACAAAAAAAAGAAGAAAAAGGCCCACCCTAATCGATGCGACGTCGTCAAACATTAGCTTGCAGAATCCTGAATCTGAAAAAAATTAAAGAGAATACAAAAGAACTAAAAAAGGGGCCATACAAACAAACATGAAAGAGAAAATAGGACATCAAAAAACTATAGGAACAAAAGAAAGAAGGAAAACTCACCGCGATCGCCGCCAACATTACATAGCACAATCCGAATCTGAAAAAATTGAGAGGGAATACAAAGAACTGAAAAAAGGGCCATACAAAAGAACATAGAAAGAGAAAGTAGTACACCAAAAAACTATAGGAACAAAAAAAGAAGAAAAACTCACCCATACAGCGATCGCCGCCAACATTACATAGCACAATCCGAATCTGAAAAAATTGAGAGGGAATACGAAGAACTGAAAAAAGGGCCATACAAAACAACATGAAGGAGAAAATAGAACATCAAAAAACTATAGGAACAAAAGAAAGAAGAAAAACTCACCCCTACAGCGATCGCCGCCAGCATTACATTGCAGAATCCGAATCTGAAAAAAAATGAGAGGGAATACAAAGAACTGAAAAAAGGGCCATACAAAAGAACATGAAAGAGAAAGTAGAACATCAAAAAACTATAGGAACAAAATAAAGAAGAAAAACTCACCCCTACAGCGATCGCCGCCAGCATTACATTGCAGAATCCGAATCTGAAAAAAAAATGAGAGGGAATAATACAAAGAAACACAAATCAAAGTTATTTCGAAACGTCCCTTTATATAAAAAGGCGTTATGAACACGTAGGAAGAAAGAAGGAAAAGAAAAAGTGGACAGGAAAAGTGAACAGTAACAAAAAACATGAACGAACATGACCCTTCCCTCCCGGTGTGAATTTCACCCACAGTAGCACGAGGATCGCGCGATCGCGAAGTCTCAACGCGCTCTTAGAGGTTTATCGCGAGGTGGGGAGGCGGACCTTGTTAGATCCGAGAGGTCCAAGCAAAAAGGGCTACCTAGGTGTCACTGGTATCCAACCATGAGGATTCAAAATCAATTCGGTGTGAAAATGATGGAGGTGGCCGATGAGCTTGACGTCCACAGCGGTCCCCATAAAAAGAAGAAATTGGACAAGCAATCAAGGGTCTCTGGGAAACGAAAGCTTCTGGTAGGAGCAAATTACACTACGCTCAATAAAATAGGAGGAAACTGAGGGCAGCTCTGCAAACGAGATTGTTTAACAACTGCTGAGTCGTGGTGAAGACCCTGCGACCGGCTACTGCCCGAACGACGGTCCGTCATCGTCACGCTACTCAGAAAATGTAACTTCTCCTAGTGCGTGAAGTAGGGAGGAATCACGCGAGAGTGTGAGCCGGGTAAAGATACTGTACGCTGGTTACGGAGCAGATGTCAACCAGACGATCTCTCGCTGCGAGGGTCCAGGGCTAATTTCACGGGGCATCTGCCAGTCCAGCAGTTGAAGGGGAAGTAAAGGAGGAGGGATCAGAGAAGGAAGGAAGGAAGGAGGGAGAAAAAAGGAAGGAGCGGAGAAGCTTTATGGTTGACATGTGCCCTGAGACGATACTGTACGCTACTGCTGGGAGTACGTGGTGGACGAATGAGGGAAGAACAGGTTGGATTACAGAGCAGAAGGCTGTGATGCGAACAAACTTGTTCACTCCGCAACTGTTGAACAATGCATCCCCTTCTCATCAGCAATGCTTATTCAAAAAGTCATCATTCTGTACGTCATGAATCATTACACACAATTTTTAGAATATCACCTTCATCAACACTGACTCTACTTGTACCTCAACTCTTCATGATCGGTGGACAAATACCGGTTGCACACTGCTTTAAGAATTGCCTTGAGTGAGTGACAGAGATGCATTCTCCTGGTTCTGTTCAACATAGGTATCAGTTTTATCATGAAGAAAGTGATGGAAAATATAGAGGTCGGCATTGATTGGCCTGTTAGAAGCCTTAAAAATCTGGATTTTGCGGACGACATTGCTATTTCCGTGAAGATAAAAACAACTCTCAGCGGGTGACTACGAACCACATCGAAGAAGCAAACAAGATAGCATTGGCGCAGAAAGTTGGAGGTGATGGATTCCACCTTTCTAGCACACAAATGGATGTAAACGTTGTTATTACCATAGCTCGAGAGCTATCGAAAGCGCGGTCACACATAATGATTATCTCGAAATAGTTGTCCATCTACGGTTTACAAATGCTGTTGCCGCAGCTCCAATAGATGGAAATGTTCTACATTGGATCAAGATGTAGCCGTACTCTTCCATCGTTATTCCCACGGCACTCTTTTTGCTAACGTGCAAAATTTCTGCTGACATGCAGAAAAAGAAGACGGCCTCCTACCGGTCATGTGATATTCGGGTTTAAGAGGTCAGAGTAGCACTGGAAACGAATTCAGCTGAATCTGCCCTCTTAGAAACAGTCGGTAAAAAACTGACCTGATTTCGGAAGTGTGGGGTAGTAGTAGTTAAATAGTGCCCACATCTGCAGATTAACTGCTCTGTCCACGTCCCTCTCGTTGAAATCGCGCTTGCGATGAGTATGGAACTCAAGAAAGGCTTACTGCTCTTCAACTCAAGTCCCCCACGGCGCGAGCTTTGCGCTATAATCGCCATTAGAAAGCGCGGATCACAAAATTGACAAAATGCCAGGAGCGCCGCGCGCAGCACGCGCCGCGCGGGCTTAGGAACAGATGCGACCTGTGGGCTCTGCCTGACTATATTAATTCGTTACACTCTTCGTATGCGAAATGGAACTTTCGGACGCCATTGAGGTGTCCAGGGTGGACGATGTGTTCATGCGAAAAGGACCTCGTCCATCCCAGATAGGATCTCTAGTACTGATAGGTTCGCTAATTTCAAAAAAGTGAATCTATGAATGGAAATGCTGCCAAACAGTTGTTTTCAGGCCACCATTTGATATTTTCCCCTAGCACGCGGACTCCTACATCCAACAAGAGCAGCAACGAGTTTTGGGTGAGGTTAATTTGTCATATACATGGTATGGAATTTACTCTTCTTTGGTTCTCTTTTATTAGTTGTTTTACTGCGACAGTTTTTCATTACCCCTTAAACACGTTGGAACTGAAGCTCAAGTTGAAGATAACGAACGCAAAGTAAAATCGATTCTACTTCATCTTGTTCTAAGGTGTAAGGTTTTTATCCTCGGCTGCACTTTGTCACCGTAGAAACCAGCTTAGGGAATGCAAGGATGTCGTGGTTTCTTGCTATAGGTGTGCAGGCGTAGCTAGAAATGTAACAATCATTTTACGACCAGAACTGACTTTCGAAAGCAAGGTGCTGACGTGGTCTGGGGAGGGGGTGTCAGTTCACTCGAGTAGTTCTTAGACGGTGCTTAGCAGGGCACATCATAAATTGGGGATTTGATCGGGTCCCCCCTCCCTTCCCCGTCTTTCCATCTTAACTACAACTCTCTTAGGTTTTCCCAGCTTCTTATCAGTTTTTCAGGAACTTCCCGACAATTTTTATAGTTTTTCCAAAAAATTGTGCCGTTGAGGGGGTGGGGGAGGGGATAATTGTTGACACTTCTCTTTCCAAAATAGGGAAATTTTCACAGGCAGTTCTTCGCGAACCGTTTGTTGTTCACTTCTGGTACAGAACACAGTTGCAATGACATTCAATGCACACATCCTTATTACGTCATCTGTGATGCGAGTATAAATCACAGCTATACCTAACACGTAGCAATAGAGATTAGCTGACAACAACCAATTAGCAACCAACTAGCAATAGACCAGTTCCTTACAGTGTTCGAATGCTCCGCCTACCCGATGTCAGGGATTTCGAGTATACGAAGATGCGCTAAAAAAAGGCCGAGGTACCTCTTTGAATAACTTTCCCGCGCACACCCGTTTGAATCGACCTCGCTGGGGCGCGCTATTTTATGGGCCGAACCGCCCGGAGGTAGTTTCAAAGCAGTTGCACATTGTTCAAACTTATTCATCGGTTCCAGTATATTCGAATTGTAACGATTATTGCAATCACTCAGTAATGACCAATAACTTATAGTTACCGAGTCGCAGTTAAGGAAGACCAACTAATTATTTTAAGTTTGAAAAAGAGAGCCTCAAGGGACGTCTAGTGCTATTACAATCCAAACAGGGTAACTTACTGCCTCACTAAACTCCCCAAAACACACTGGATGTGCAGCATAAGGTATCGGTGTGGTTACTACTGTAACCATGAAAGACAAAACTTTGCGAAAGCGTTGGATGAGAAATCGTGGAAAGAGCCGGAAATGGGCATTCATGAACATAGTCCCGAGCTAATTACCACTTGGAAAAGCCGGGAGAAAAATGCGGGGATACTTTGCTCCACGTGACTTTTAATATGATAATGGGAGCACATCATTTCTGAGGGAGAAGAGCGCTACCGTACCCGCTATACTTTCATGACAGACGGGGAGATGAGGGCATTCACTGATACGGTGCTTTCGATGATGCTGAATCTGCCGACTCGACAGCTTAAAATCTTTTTACTATTTTTTTTTCTATGCGGCGAAACGAAACTGAAGTTGCAGAATACAGAGCTGCTGGAGAAGATGTAGTGGGTCCTGGGACCAAACAGGCGGTGTGATACATATGAAGACCACTTTCACTGGACCGTACCAACATTCACGAAGTATTCCAAACAGATCATTCTAGTTAGTTGCTGATCAGCTGTTCAAAACATCCGTCCCCTCCTTTGTTGAATTGGTGCTGGTGAATACTTAACCGCCGCTGTTTGGAGTCATGTTTAGCTGTTTTTTTTGGGAAGTCAAAAATAAGAGAGTTGCTATGAAGGAAACAAGGATGGGAGAAACTTTATTGCAGTTTGCTGCAGTTGTATGTTGTGTGTTGGTTGTTTCAGACAACGAGAGTATACAAAGGGTGACCATCAACGTCCCATTTCGATTGAGAAGAGCGCCAGCGGAATAGAAGTGATTGCGAAATAGTGCGCCCCAATAGGTCGATTTAAACGGGTGCGCGCGGGAAAATTATTCGAAGAGGTTACCTCGGCTTCTTTTAGATATCATCTATATACGGGAGGCGGTCGTTTGGCGCGATCACATTCCCGTTGACGCGTCACGACAGGTCTACCAAATTAGCTATTTCTTCCAAACCATTGAATTATACGGTTTAGTTCTTGAAGCCTGCATGGAAGCTGAAGCCGTGCATGTTGGCTTTAGTGATCATGCTTCCGAACCAGGTGGTCTCCTAACGATCGCACACTGATAGGGAAAATTCACTGTTCTGAAGCTTCGGACGAGTTGCCCTTCCTGAAAGACGGCTGGTCTGACGTGTTTTGACACGTCGGTAGCAAAAAGATCGCGCCAAACGACATACATCCTATTCGTACATAGAGGACCAACCAACTACGCCATGCGATTGCGTACTCACTTCTGCGACCGTGAACCACGTCTAATGCATATTCACACTGTAGCCACTGCGCCAACTGTAATTAAGCAAAGACAAAGAAAATGGCTGTGATTGTGCTGAAG